GCCAGCCTGTTATAGGGAGCAAGAGTGATTGTCCGAGTAAAGGTCACCCCAGATACTGGCTGAACTCTACCAGCGTCATCTGGGGTCTCTAAAATGAAAAATATTGGCAAGAAGTTATGTCTGGTGGCCAGGATTGGATGGTGAGACAGTGCCTAGAGTGCTAGCAAGAACAGAAAGTACCGCCAACAGCCCCACCTTCGTGGGAATGGCCAGGTAAACTCTGAACCTGGTTACATGTCGACTGTACTGGTCATTTCATGGGCTCAATATTCTTGGTCATTGTAGATGCCAATTTAAAGTGGTTGGACATGTGTAGAGTTTATTCATCAAACTCAGGGATGATGATTGAAAAGCTGCAATCATTGTTTGTGATACATGAACTTCTGGAAGTATTGGTCATGGACAATGGAACATCATTTATCAACAGGGAATTCGAGTATTTCCTAAAGTCAGATGGCATTTGGCATGTCAAACAGATCCATACAGTTCATCATCCAATGGTCTGGCGGAAAGAGCAGTCCAAACTTTGAAGGCAGGCTTAAAGAAACAGCCTGCAGCTTCACTCAATACTATTGGAAATGGGGAGGTATCGGAGGCTCTGTCAGGCTTAAAAACAGACAATTCTCCTGGCCCAGATGAATTGCTTCCCAGGCTGTAGTGGGAGATGAGGCAGAAAATTACAAGGGCTCTGACACAAATATTTAATTCCTCTCTGACAATGGGGGAAATGCCAGATGACTGGAGGACGGTTAATGTGGTTCCATTTTTTTCAAGAATGATGGTAGAAATGAACCCGAAAATTACAGACTTGTGAGTCTAATGTCAGTGGTAGGGAAACTATTAGAGAAAATTCTGAAAGAGCAAATTATTACCTATTTGGAAAGGCATGGGTTAATTAGGGTTAGTCAACATGGCTTTGTCAGAGGTAGGTCATGCTGAACAAATTTAGAACACAGAACATAGAACAGTACAGCACAGTGTAGGCCCTTCAGCCCATGATGTTGTGCTGAACTTTTACCCTAATCCTAAGGTCTATTTAACCTCCACCCATACCTTTGCTATCATCTAAATTTGTTAGAATTTTTTTTTGAAAATCTGACGGCATGCATGAATGAAGGAAGTTCAGTTGATGTAGTTTATATGGATTTTAGCAAAGCTTTTGATATGGGAGACTGAGAAGGTTAAAGTACATGGAATTGATGGAACCTTGGTGAGATAGATCAGAAACTGGCTTAGTAATAGGACTCCAAGGGTAGTATTGAAGATTGTTCAAGTGACTGGAGGCTGCTGTTCAGCGGTGTACCACAAGGATCAGTACTGGGAACCTTATTGTTTGTTACATACATAAATGATATAGATGAAAATGTGGAGGGATGTTAAATTTGCAGACTATACCAAGATTGGTAGAGTGGTTAATGGCAAAGAAGATGGTTATAGGTTACAGGAAGATGTCGATCTGACCAACCCATCTACAGACCAGTAGCAGATGGTATTTAGCCCTGATAAATGTGAGGTGATGCACTTTGGAAGAAGAAACCAGATGAGGGAGTATTTAATGAATGGTGGGACACTGGGTAGCTTAGAGGAACAGAGGGATCTTGGGGTATTTATTCACAGATCCCTGAAGTTGGCAGAGTATGTGAATAGGATAGTTAAGAAGGCATATGGGATACTTGCTTTCATCAATTGTGGCATAGAATATAAGAGCAAGAAGGTAATATTAGAGTCATACAGAGCGTTGCTTAGGCAACAGCTGGAATACAGTGTGCAGTACAGGTCACCTCACTACAGGAAGGATATGATAGCACTAGAGGAGGTACAGAGGAGGTTCACCAAGATGTCGCCTGAGATGGAGAAATTGAACTAAAAGGAAAGACTAGATAGGCTTGGATTGTTTTCTTTACAGCGGAGAAGACTGAGGGAGGACTGGGTGAGGTGGATAAGATGATGGTATGCTCAGTGAGTAGGCAGCAGCTGTTCCCCTTGGTTGAGGGGTCAATCACAAGCGGTCAAAGTTTTAGGGTGAGGGGCAGGAGATTCATAGGGGATTTGGGGAAAAATGTTTTTCACTCAGCAGGTGGTGGGAATCTGGAATGCATTGCTTGGGAAAGTAGTGGAGGCCGAAAACTTTAGCACCTTTAAAAAACATTTGGTTGAGCCCTTGAAATATGATAACATTTTAAGGCTATGGGATTAGTGCACCTTTTAATTGTGGTGATGTCAGTGCAGGCTCAATGGGCTGAAGAGCCTTTTCTGCACTATATGAATCGAAGATGCTTTGATGGAACATTGTAAAACAAATATGGCACTGAGCTACGTAAAGAAATATTCAGGCAGGTGACCAAAATCTTTATCAAAGAAGTAAGTTTTAAATAGCATCTTAAAGAAGGAAAGTGAAGTGGAGAAGTTTAGGGATGGTATCTTAGAAATTAGTGCTCGGGCAGATGAAGCAAGATCACCAATCATGGGGCATTTAAAATCTGAGCTACTCAAGGTTAGAACTAGAGAGATGTAGAAACATTAATGCAGTTGTGGGCTGAGAAGAGATTGCATTAATAGGGAGGATTAAAAAACCACTGAGGAACTTGACATTTGAATGAAAATTTTAAAAACTGAGGCACAACTTATTTGGAGACTGATTTATAGGTCAGGGAGTACGCAGGTGGTGTTAAAGTTAGGACAGGGTGGCAGAGCTTTGGATGATTTCATGTTTACAGGGGAATAGAATAATGGAAGCCAGATTACGCTATGGAGATGGAGAAAATGCACCTTAATATGGTGCACATAAATGGCGAGAAACTCCTCTTGAGGTTAAGTGTGACACCAAGACTGCAGTCTGGTTTTGTCTCAGTTAATTAGCAAGGAGAAGGATGAAGTCATTGGTTAAAGAATGGACTTAGAATTAATTTTATTGTCACGTGCACTCAGGTACAAGGATACATCAGTACAGGAAAAAGTGTACTAATTTCCAGCACCATCTTAGATACAAAGGTGCCTTGGTACAAAATCTTAGGCATAAATTAGAAAAATAAGGAAATAAAGCTAAAAGTCCAGCATTACAATCCTTCTAAAGCAGAGGAAAATAAATAAAAGCAGACAGAGCAGGCAAGTCCACACTGGGCTTCAACTCGGGTCTGGGCTGGGCTTTATCTCGAGGTTGAAAATCCGCACTGGGCTTTACCTCTAGGCTGGGAGTCCACAAGTCCGTGCTGGACTTCACCTTGAAGCCAAGAGTCCACGCTGGGCCTCACCTTGTGGGCGGGAATCCATGCCGGGCTTCACATCAGTCCACCACTGGGCTTCACCTCAAGTCTGCGCTGGCTCAACTTGTCACCACTGATGCGTCAGAGGACAGGAGGTAAGTCGAAAGGAAAAGGGCGTAACTTTCAGTCATATGGCCAAACAGCAACGCAAGAATTTCTGAGAAGGCTGTGAACAAGCTGGCTACATTAACAAATCACGTGTGACCAGACAGTAAATGTTGAAGGGTCCACACATTTAAAGGTGCTGTATGCACTCTATATATAAATATGAGACCATACATTGATGGGTACCAAAGACAATGCCTTTGGTCTTCCCAGTCATTTAATTGGAAGAAATTTCTGTTGTCCAGTAAAAGCTGCCTGAGAAGTTAGACAAAATGGAAGAGTTAGCAATGACATAGAGCCAGATGTCATCAGCACACACATGGAAACTGTTATAACACATTTACTTTCTAACTCTAAGACTGATGACAGGGTCATAGACCTGAAATGTTCCCTTTCCACAGATATTGTCACACATGCTGAGTATTTCCATCACTTTCTATATTTTGCTTTTGTCAGAATATTCCGAATGAAGGGACATGTTTAGCGCAAGATGTCATGATTTCTTAAAGAATAATGCATTTGAAGTGGCTTCTTCAGCAACAACAGTTTTCATTTATTCATCAGATCAATGTAATGGTTCCAAAGGTGAAAGCAGGGGAGTCGGTGGCATAATGGTAATGTCGCCTAACTGGTAAACTAAAGCCCTAGTCTAATGCTCTGAGGACTTGGGCTTGAATCGCATCATGACAGATTGTGAAATTTGGAATTAAAAAACTGGACCATGTTAGCATTGTCGTAAAAGGTCATTTGGTTCACTGATGTCTTTTAGGGAGAGAAAACTGCTAACCATGTCTCATCTGGCCTGCTGTGATTCCACATCTGCAGAAATGTCATTGACTCTTATGCCCACTGCAATGACTTAGAGCCAACCAGTTCAAGGGCAATTAAAAATAGGCAATAAATCATAACCTTGACAGAAATGCCCAGATATCTCCTGTTTTTTCACTTATTGCTACATGTTTTATTTAGATTCTATTATTATGTTACTCATAACATGAGCATTGAGACTGGGTTTTTACTGAAAACAAGTATCAAAAGATTTATTTACATATGTGACTAAATGCATTTCTCAAACTTTATCACAGATATTGGTATAGTCTAGACCCAAGCTCTTAATAGACTGGTTAGCTGACTAACTTTGTCAGCATAAATATAAAGTTTGCATCATATGGCATACTGCTATAGAAATTGGAACTGATATGTTTTTATAAAAACATATCAGATGGCATGGTGTAAAATTGATGTTATCATTTACTTCTCTTAAATGTACATGCTTGCTTGATCATAAGTGCATGCAATATCACAGCAGTAGGTATTGGAGTCAGATTACAGCTTGGGTTAAATAGTTTATTAAGGGTCAGTCTTTTAAGGCCCAAATTGAACCAAAGCAGAGGTGGGCAGCCAGTGAAAAATAGCAGCTATGTTGCTGGCATCCTGTCTCTATTCTGGACGTGAAAAATCTTTATGACGACTGAGCATGTCAGGGTACATTGATTGGCAAATCCACCTGAATGCCTTGTGAGGCCAGTTAAAGGTAGTTAAGGGCCCTTTTTAAAAAGCCTGACTGCAGATTTCAACTTTGGTGGAGCTATCTGCCTGACATGCTGAAGGCAGGCGCTGACCAAGTCCAGGATGGTCATCAAGGCCAAAACAAATTCTGCAGGTAAGTATAATGGCTGATCAGATATGATAGTTTAACTCTTTTGGGTTAGAAATATAGCAGCCAAGCAAAGGTCGGAGAAGAGTCAGCATTAGAATCTTCAGAGGATTGTAACTCTACTGGTACTGCTTGGGCATCAAGGCAGTGGGACGGCTGTTTAGACTTCACCTGAGCACCAGAAAGGCTGCAGCTAGAAATGTGTGATGCTTCTTCAGAGATCAAGGGCTCTGGAGATGAGCAGCAACAGCCTGCGCAAGAATGGCAGAGACTTTTTTTTGTTTATCCTTTCATGAGATGTAGCTTTGTCAGAAATTGTCCAACCCTAAATGCATTTGAACTGACTGGCTTGCAATCCCATTTCAAAGCACTGTTTAAGACTAAATCGCGTTGTTATGGGTCTGGAGTTATACACAGGCCAGACCAGGTAAGAATGGTGCTGAAAAGCCAGAGGAGTGGGACAAGGGGGATGAAGGAGAATAAGGCATTATCTTGAGCTATGCATCAACAGATGGATATCTACACACGACTGAAGAACAGTGCCAAAAGAGACTAATTCCCTAGGCAGATCGTTATTGTTGCAGACAGATGTGTTTTTTTTCCTATTCTCATCATGTCCATAAGATTGAGATTTAATTTTACCACTTTGGTTAAACAAAATGGGTATAATTCCCCCACTCCTTCAGTTTGTGGACTCTATCTGTGGTAAAATTAAGTCAGAAGTAAGGTTTATTTTACATACTCTTAGACATGGGAAACATTTTCCATCACAAGCCCCCTTACAAACATACATGGAAAAAATACAATTGGATAGGATAAAATGATTATTCAAAACAAAACAACCAAGGGATATTGGTTTATGAATATCCTTGCTTTTGACACAGAGTCTAAACGTCCAAACCTAGAGTTCAGATTCTGGAATTGCTTTGTGGGAATGATTGGCTAAACAGCAGATAAGAAATGGTAGGAAGCTCCTTCCTTTAAAAATCTAATGGAAAATCTTCTGAGGATGTTCTGCTCACAGGTAATTTCTGTTTCATTGTGTTGATGAAAACAAATTTATTTGTAGAGAGAACAAAATTAGCTTGTAGCCTGTTTTTTATAGGTCAGTGAATATTCCTCTGTAGTCTGCAATTAGGTGTATTGATTTTGTCAGTAGATGTTGTATTGAGCAATGCTGGCTCCTAGATTGTATTAAAATTGTTTGATTTTTATTGAGACCAACTGCCTTTTTTACTGTGGGAGTCATGTTACCAAGCTCTCTGGAGGAGGAGAAGCAGCTACCATTGAAACAACAAAGGCTTGCATTGTAGATAGTCAGCTATCTGTGACCCACTCCTAGGTCAAGTGAAAAGTCATTAACACATCTCAGAGTTGGTGAAACTTCTAGGATTTATTTTCTTGGAGACTGATCACCCACTCTTTTCTCTCTCAACTGGTTTGAATGTTGAAGGTCAAGAGTTTAATGATGGTTGTACTGTCAGTGCAAACTATTAGGAGATACAATAGTTCAAATAGGAAGCATTCCAGACCCATCAGAAGGTACAGGCTGTTGATTGTCTTGCTGACATTGACTTCTGCAAAGTCTCTAGAAGGTTATTTCTAAGTCCAGTGACTTAATTATAGTAGCCATCTTTGTTTGTGAATGTTTTTGTTTTTGAAAATACATTAAACAAAGTTAATATTTAGATATGTATTAAAATTCATTTTATTCTTTGCCCACTCATGTGTACAGATGTCTATAGCAGTCACAATGAATGTTCGCCAAGCCAGTGATGCCCATATCCTGTAATGAATTTAAAAAAAAACCTCATTCCGTGAATTGTCACACCGTGCATGTCGTGGTAAAGGTAACTGTTTTGCCACTTGATCCTTCCAAGGTCAGCTGCAAATCACTGGCATCTCATGGGTAGCTACACACTGGTGCATTAGCAGATGACAAATTACCTAAATGGACTAGGTTCACAATTAATAGGTTTTGCGGTCTCAGGAGACATTGCATCTGATATCTGGACAGGTTGTTTGTTACACTCCAATATTTTCCATCAGGATTCGTAATGGTTATGATAGTCTACAATGTCTCCATAACGTGGTCCTCCAAACAATAGGTGTGGAGCTAGAGGATCCTAAAGCCATGGTAGGAGGGAGCTCATCTGGAGAGTAGCAGAAACAGGAGGTAATAGAAAAGGAGAACTATAAGGTAATGGCAGAAGACACTAGATAAATAAATATTCCTTCTGCACAATGAGGTCTGCTCCCTTTGCCAGCCTCTCAGAAGTGGATTCCCCTCCTCTGCTATCTAGCTTCCAGAATTAGATTAATGTCAGCAATGATGAGGTGAGGGTCTATCTTGCCCTGGGTGCAAGATCTTTGGCTTTGTTGAAACACCACCCCCACTCCCCCCAGTGAAGTAAAAGGCACAAACTCTCCTTCAGGACAGGAAACAGCCTCCCTGATGGCTGCCATGGGAAATCTAAATGAGTCCCAAAATTCATCTAACAGACCTGCCCCCATTCCTATCCCACTGACTCCAATCGGAGAGGAAACCAATCATCCCAAAGAAAATCTGAACTTATTCAGTTTCCCAATATTTCTGACACAGAAACATACATTATTTCCTGCTTCTGTGGGGAAAATTCATCTCCAGGTTATACATGCATCTCCCATGGGAGCAGGCAGGTGGAGGGGCAGATAGGTGTGTGTCAGTGATGAAGGTATAGAAATCATGCTGGGGCTCCAGATCATGGCCTTGGTCCTCCCAATGTTTAGCTGGAGGGATTAATGTGTCATAGAATCATCGAATTTTACAGTACTAGAAGGACCCATTCAACCCATCGTATCTGTACTGGCTTCCAAAAGAGCTACCCAGCTAGTCCCACTCTCTAGCCCTCTCTCCATGGTCCTCTAACTTCATCACTTTCAAATATATATCCAGCTCCCTTTTGGAACACACCTCCACCACTGTCCCAGGGAGCGCATTCCAAATCCTAACAACTGAGTAAAGAAGCTTCTCTTCATTTTTCTCCTGGTCTCTTGCTGGCAATTTGGAAATTGTGATGCCTAGTTATTGACATACCACCTAGTTATTGACATACCAACTAGTGGAAATGAAATATCTTTCTTTACCCTGTCAAAGTTGTTCATAATTTTGAACACCTCAATAAGATCACTTCTTAATTTTCTCTGCTCCAAGAAGAATAAGCCCAATCTCTCTAATCTTTCCTTTTATCGAAAATCCTTCGTTGTCGGTATCATTCAAGAAAATCTCTTTTGAAGTCTTTCCAGGGCTTTAAAATAAGTGCAACTGAATACAATACTCCAAATGTGGCCTGACCTATGATTTGCTGACATGTAGGATGACTTCCTAGCTTTTCTACTCAATGCCTCTATTTATAAACCCAAAGATCCTATAAGCCTTAACAACTGTTTCAACTTGCCTGGCCACCTTCAGAGAATCATGCACGTGAACCTGGAGGTCCCTCTGCTCCTGTACTTTCCTAAATTAGCCGATATTTTCTCTCAATATTTCTTCTACAAAAATGCATTGCGTGACATTTCTTTGCATTGAAATTCATCTGCCAGATGTCTGCCCATTTGGCCAACTTGTCAATGTCCTTCTAAAGTTCCTCAGCGTCCTCCTCACAATCTACTATTCACACTAGCTTAGTACCATCTGCAAATTCAGGGACTTTTCCCTCAACACCCATCTCCAAATCATTTATATAAATCAGAAAAAGCAAAGGTCCCAACAACACTGGGTAACATCTCTTTCAATTTGTCTCCAATCGGTGAGAAATGCCCAACTATACTTATCCTCTGTGTTTCCTATCTTTTAGCCAAGTTCTAATCCATACTGCCAAGGACTCATCAATTCCAAACATTTCTAATTTGTTAATCAACCTGCTATGCTAATCAACCCACCAATCAAATGCTATCTGCAAGTCCAAATATACAACATTCAAACACTACCCCCATTGAATGCCTGTGTCACCTCATCAAAGAACTCCATTAAATTTGAGTCAGAACCTGCCTTTGACAAAGACTTGTTGACTGTCTAGTATTAACTATTTTTCCTCTAAGTGTGTATTTACCCTACTGTGTATTTTGCCCTCCATCTGGGGTCATGGGATTGTGGTGAGAGTGTGAACCTCCAAACAGTGAGCCGACGTGAAATCACTGTCCTCGTCCATATTATAATCCGGAATGAAAATAGACACAGTGAATATCATCATACTAACATGCTTGTATACTACATAAACTATTGAAATTATTGGAATGCAAATGTAGCTCTATAATTGTATTGATTATGAAAAAATGCAGCGCCAACATAAGTCTGTAAAATGGTCAAATGTTCAAAATGGATTCTCCATTATCAATAATAGTATTTCTTGCGTTCACTTTGAAAATACCAGCTAAACAATCAACCCTTTGCCCAAAATTAAAAAAAGATTTTATCCTAAATTTTAAATTTAATTCTACAATTAAACCTTTTTCAATGTTTTTAAAATTGTTTATCTGGACAAGCAAGGAAGAAGCAAAATAAGGGAACTTCACAAAGAGAAGGCAGAAAAGACCTTCCTTCAGTGTCATTTCTACTGACCGGCAGATATGATGATTGATCAGGTTTGGTATTGACCAATCTGTCAAATTGTTGCAATATATTGGCCTTAAACCTATGCTTCAGCTTTCCACACTTAGACTTATAGCTGGATACAGAATACTTTTTGTCACGTTGACCTGTTAGTCAGCTGGAAAGTAAGAAAACAACAATAGTGACCTACAATTTGCTGCAACAAGTCATTAATAAAATCTGCTGTAGTTAGACATGCCTTTGCATGTTTAGGTTGTCAATCTTTTTGACAAGTTGCTGAATGTGCCAAATGACAAGTAGTGCAGTGAAGGAAATAGCATCAAGGAGCTGAGTAAATAGGACAAACTACTGAATATCCCCTTTACCAGTCAGAGTGAAAGATTGTGAAATTAACAGTACAAATACAGAGAAAGCA